CCCCACCTCTGAAAAGGGGGTCACAAGACCTTCCCAACTGCCCGTCCCTCACCCACCTGCGACGTGGGGGTATTTGAGCAGAAACAGGAAGCCATAGCGGAGAGTTGTGCTGGTGGTCTCCGTGCCAGCAAAGAACAGTGAAAGTGAGGTCAGGACGAGGTTCTTGTGGTGGAACTCAGTGTGGGGGTCAGACTTGTCCTAGGTCCAGAGCAAGGAGAGAGGAGAGGGTCAGGGAAGACCAAAGCCTTATTGCAGAAGGGTCTCTTGTCCTTCTGAGCACCCGCCCTATATTTTTGTGACTCAGGTATCTGGCTGCTTTGCACATCTCTGTCCTTCACCTGGCTCTCTCTCTCTCTCTCTCTCTCTCTCTCTCTCTGTTTCCCCACCCTCTGCTTTTCTTTAGTCCACATGGCTCTGTTTCCACTTCTTTTTATCTCTTTGGCTTGTTTCTCACTTTTGATCTCCCCATTCTCTTTCTTCCTCTGTGGGTTTCTTTCACTTATTACTTTTTGGTCTTTGAAAAATTTTTTATTTATTTATTTTTTACTCTTTGGTCTTTTCCCCTGATTTTCTTCCTCCACCAGCCCTTACCTCTTCTCCTTTTCCCTCCCCATTTCAGTTTCTCCTTCCTAACTTCTCCTCCCTTCCACTTTCTCTTCCTTTAGCTTCTGCTTCTCCTCTCTTCCCTTCCATATTCCCTCCTCCCAATCCTCTTCCTTCCCCTCTTCTCCTCTCCTAGTTTTTTCCTTTCCTTCTGCTCACCTCTCCCTCCTCCCCTCCTGTCCCTTCCCCTCTCCCAGATCTCACTTTCTCCATGCGGAGCAGGTAGGCATCAATGAAGTCTCTGGGAGCACTGGGGTCCAGGGTTTCCTGGTGTTTCTCCACACTGTGGCCAATGAAAGTGATGATTTCCTGTGAAACTTTGGAGATTTCCCTGTGCATTCCAGGAAAGTGTTTCAGGATGCTGGGGAAGAGCTCAAACATCTGCAAGAAAGAAGAGGCAGTGAGGCCCACCTGGGGCTCCATTAGCAGATCAGAGAGCTGGGAAGCTGTCCTGGGCCCCAGACCTGCATGAGGAATCTCTATCCCTCTGTCTCTCTATCCTGAGTCTACTTCTTTCCTTCTTATTTACACACACACACACACACACACACACACACACACACACACACACACAACCTTCTGTCTCCCAGAATCTATCTCTATCATTTTTTCCTTTTCTCTGTCTTCTCTCTTTTCCTCCCTTCTCTTTCTCAAGTATTCATCTTCATTGTCTCTCCCACTTTATTTTGCACCCCCCTCACTTCTCTTCCTTTTTCTCAGGTTCTTGGTCCCTCTCACTGTCTCTCCTACACTTCAGTTCTCAGTGTCCCTGTCCCTCTGTGCTGTCTCCACCCTTCTTCCAGCCCTAAGTGTATTTCTGGGCTCCCCAAAGCAGGCCATTATTCCCCCCTGCCCTGGCTGCTCCCTTCACCCCCACCCTCCTGCTCCCTCCTCTGACCTGGCTGGAAAAGGAGCTAATGAGTGCAAAGGACTGATAGATGAGGTCTAGCAGCCTCAGGAACTGGCGGTCTTTGTAGTCAAAGCGTTTGCCAAAGACAATGGAGCAGATGATGTTGGCAGTGGCAGACTGGAAGAGGAACAACGGGTCCACAAGGCCTCCTAGGAGGAAAGGCAGCAGTTCACAGGACACAGACTCAAGAGGCTGGGGAGCATTTGGATGCTACCCTGTCTCTGTGACTGCCATTGCTTAGTAATAAAACATAAAAATAGCAATAAACGCTGACACTCAGTGGCCTGTACTATGTGCCAGGCTGTATTCTATGCACTTCATGTGTTATTTTAACTTAATTTCCTCCACAGCATTGTAAGGAAGATATAGTTCTATTATTACACCCCCCCCCATTTTATAGATGGATGAATGATTAATGGTTAAATGATTTGACCAAGTTAACACAGGGGCAAGGATTCAGACCTGGCAGCCCAGAGACAGAGCCAGGGCAGTTGGTCCCTACCTTTCATCTCACCCTGGTCCCAGCTCCCACTCTGTAAGGGAATAAAATTAATCCCCAGGACAGAGGGGGGTGGAGCCATTTCCAATCAATAGCATGTGCAAATTTAAAAGCCTGATCACCTCATCACTTCATTCCTATCTGTCACTCCCCTTCACCTCCTCTCTTTCCTCCAGGGTTTGGGCGAGAAGGAGGGAGGCTCTGAGCCTGAGAACATCATGCAGGTCTCTCTCTCTCTCTGTCTCTGTCTCTCCCTCTATCTCTGGGTCTCTCCTGTGTATCTACTATCATTCCTTTGCAGACCTTTGCCTGAGCCTTGTCTCTCTGTTGCTCTAATTTTCTGTCTCAGTTTTTCTCTGTCTTTATTTTATTCTGCCACTCTGAGTCTCCTTTACTCTCTTGTCTCTCTTTTCCTTCTGTCTGCTTGGCCCATGTCCATCTCTCCCTCTTTCCCCATCTCTGTCTCCATGTTACTCTGCCTCTGTCTTTCTTCTCAGTCTCTCTGTCCCTATGGCTTCTCCCTAGCTTCAGACTCTCCAGACATGATGCAGACCGGATATGAATGAAAGGATGCTGACCAAGGAGGTGCTAACAAGGAGCACAGTCACCTCTACATCCCTGTCACAAAGGATCCAAAAGGAACTGAAAATCTTCCCCAAGAGCTGAGTGCCAATTGGCCTCTTTCCTCACTGCCTGCTCATCAGCACTTCACCAAGGGTGGGAAAACACAGTTCACTATTTTCACATCTGCTGTTCCTCCCTTTCCCTTTGTTTTATTTTACAGGAGGCTTGTCTTTGCTTTTGATGCATGCAGTTAACCCATGAATTGATTTCTCTGGACACAAATGAATAGCATCAGTCGCTCAGCCTCTTTCTCTGAGTTGTTCTTGGACACTGTAAACCTCACGGTTCCTTCCCTGTCTATCTGTGTTGCTCTGCTGCTTGTCTCTGTTCACTTCTATTCCATCTCTTTCTGTCCTTATCACTCTGTCTGTCTCTATTTCTACCTTTCCCTGCCTATGTGTACCTCTCTGTGTTTCTATTGCTGTGCACCCTACCCCCTCTCTGTATGTTTGTCTTTCTTTTCTACCCACTCCATGCCTCAAGACTCACCCTGGGATTTCCGCAGCTCCTCCACCAGACACTGAGCCTCCTCCTGAATCCGCTCCTCCATGCTCCACTTTCCCATCCCAAAGTCCCTCATGGTGGCCAAAGTGAATCTCCGAAGGACATTCCAGCGTTCCCCATTGGCAAAGTTCAAACCTAGTGGTTTTAGAGGCAGCATGGGATGCAGAGGAAGTTCAAGAAGGTAGGATCCCTCCCCATGTTTTTCCTCCTATCTTACACTCATCTTCTCCATGTCCCATCCTCCATCCTGCCCCACCCCAGTGCCTTTGAGATCCTCACCGTATCCCTGGAAGATAGCCTCTGTGGAAGCAATTGTCCCCCGGCCAGAGAAAGCCCCAGCTTGGTCCACCAGGGCCTCCCGTATGGTCTCTGGCCCACACAGCATGACCACGGACTTCTGCCCCAGGTACACAGTGAAGACATCTCCATATTTCTCTCAGAGCTGCCAAGCATAGCCATGCCAGGGTCACTATCAGTCAGTATTCACACCAGTTGTCAAACCAATGAAACACTTAAGTACACATTGTAATTAGATGCCAACTCTAGGACTTTTATTTGCTCCTCAGCTGCCTTGTTTCATTCCCACAACCCAGCAACTAAAGGGTTAACCTGTGACCCAGCCAGGCTCTGCCCTAGTACAGCTGGTTGAATATTGCTAATCTCATCTTAACCTGTACCCTTGTGTCGGGGCACATCTCCCTGGTATCTCAACAAAAAGAATCCTTTTGTCTTAACTTCTGCCTGCATTCTGATCCTAAATAATTTCCCGGGAGAACAACAATGACTTACTCTCTTGGCAGAGAGGAAGGGAATGTTACTGCCCTCTAGCCCTGAGCGTGAAATTTGAAAAATCTACTCAGTACAGCTCCATGGAAATCTGCTAGACAGGACAGTCAACCCTCAGCATCTACAGGGACCACATCTCAGGCCTTCCTTGATAGTATTTGCATGTAACCTGTGTCCTTCCTCCTGTATACGTCAAACCATCTCTAGTGTACTTTTATCTAATACAATAGGAATGCTATATAAAAAGTTTTTGTACTCTATTGTTTAGGGATTAATAGCTTGAAAATAGTCTGTACATGTTCAATACAAGCACAATTTTTTCAAGTATTTTCAATCCAAAGCTGAGGTAGATCCCACAGATAGCCAAGACCAGCTGTATTTATTAAATCTAAACACAAGTATACTCAGCAACTTCACCACCAAATGCTTGCTCAGTAATAATGTGTACTTGTTCACACACACACACAAAAATAGCACAGAAGCATGCACAGAAGAAAGGGAACAAAATTCACTTTTATGGCAAACCCACTCAAGCAATAATCACGTTAATCCGCTCATAAGGTACAGCTCTCATGACCTAATCACCTCTCAAACGTCTCACCTCTCATCCCTGTTGCACTGGAATTAAGTTTCTAATGCATGAACTTCAAGGGACATATTCAGACTATAACTTTGGACCCCTGGCACCCCATATTCCTGTCTTTCTTACATGCAAAATATATTTATTCCACCCAAATACCACCAAAAGTCTTAACCCATTCCAGCATCAACTCAAAAGTCAGGAGTCTCATCCATGGAACCAAGGCATGACTTCTCCCAAGACAAATTCTCCTTGAGCTGTGAACTTAATACAATGTTGAGATATGCATGGGATAGCCATTTCCATTCTGGAAGGGAGAAATAGGAAAGAAGAAAGGGGTGAGTGGTCCCAAGTAAATGCAAAATCCAGCAAGGAAAACAATATAGTGTGTATGTGATATATGAAAAGCAACTAAAATGAAAAACTTTACACTTGGGGCCTCCAAGCATGCAATAAAACTCTATTGAGGGGGAAATGCACTGGGTCTATGGCCCTCAGAGCCAGGCAGCCTTTCCCAGGCCCTGGCCAACAAAAATCCTGCTGAGCTTCCCTTGGTGCCTCTATTTACTTGCTCTTTTGCCAACCTGTGTGTGCATATTCACTGAGCCCTTGCTGTGAGCCAGGCACTATGTTCAGCACTGTGCTTGGGTAAATGTTACATTGTCAACAAGGAGAGGCAAGTGATTCACAGGAGCTTATGTTGGCATTGGGGCAAGGTGGCACACACCTGTAATTCCAGCACTAGGAGGCTGAGGCAGCAGAATGGCCATGAGTGTAAGTCCAGCATTAGCTACATAGGGAGACCCTGTTTCAAAAAAAAAAAAAAAAAAAAAGAGTGTATGGAGGGGACTTGACCATATCTGAGGATCAAGAAAGACTTCTCAGTAGAAATGATCCTTACCTGTACATCTAAGAAACCTCAACAATGAGGCTGAGGCACTGACCACTAGCCAAGGGAGAATCCATAAAGGATCTCACTTTGCCCCAAGCTTTTCCTGCAAGGAAACAAAAACATTTGCTGCAAGGAAGAATGGACAATGCTGAGTGTGGTGCTGCACACCTGTAGTCCAGTACTTGAGAGGCTGAGGCAGGAGAATTGCTGTGAATCTGAGCCAAGCCTGGGCTACATAGTGAGTTCCAGGTGAGTCTGCACCACAGCAGAGATGTGAAGGAATAGATGAAACAGGGAGGCTCAAAGGAAAAGCAAAAGAAAGAGAAGAAATATCAAAAAATAAAGGTT